GCCAAGAACGTATCTGAACAGGTCCCAGTCCGAGAAAAGGATGGAAGGATCCTGTTCATATGGACCTGTCCTCAGACAGAACACTAAATAATAATAAGATGAGGTGGTCTAGCGGTTAGAACGCTGGCCTTGTAATCCTGGGGACTCGGGTTCGATTTCCGGCGGTGCCCGAATTTATAACTTGTGTAGGGCAAGGCCGTGGTCTAGGCAACACGGGGTTTTCCTCCGTGGCATCCCAACAATTACTCCATTCACACATAGAAGAAGGCAATGGCAAACCACTTCTGGATCATCTGCCAAGAACGTATCTGAACAGGTCCCAGTCCGAGAAAAGGATGGAAGGATCCTGTTCATATGGACCTGTCCTCAGACAGAACACTAAATAATAATAAGATGAGGTGGTCTAGCGGTTAGAACGCTGGCCTTGTAATCCTGGGGACTCGGGTTCGATTTCCGGCGGTGCCCGAATTTATAACTTGTGTAGGGCAAGGCCGTGGTCTAGGCAACACGGGGTTTTCCTCCGTGGCATCCCAACAATTACTCCATTCACACATAGAAGAAGGCAATGGCAAACCACTTCTGGATCATCTGCCAAGAACGTATCTGAACAGGTCCCAGTCCGAGAAAAGGATGGAAGGATCCTGTTCATATGGACCTGTCGTCAGACAGAACACTAAATAAATATAAATAACCAAACGTTACGTTGTCCGGATGCTTCATCAGTTATTAGCAAATGTGCATGTCGCTGGGTTGTCACGTTGTTTATCAATTTCGACCAAATGACTTCCCGTGTTAACCCACAATCAACACTTTCACCGCCGTAAAACACTCAAATATCGTTATTTCTGAAACCCTTCCGAATCGTACAAGTGAGTGTTACACCACACCAGAACTTCGTGCGGTTGCCATGTTGGTTTCACTAACAGAGACAGGAAACAAATTTGGCGATGAGGCGACATCCAGTGGCTCCAACATTCGCGGCTACGAAATCCGATGGTTCATTACCGCCATAATAAAACCACTTATGAGACCCTTTAATTCACACATCCCTTAAGATAAATCTTAAAATTATTCTCAAATCTACGCCTAACTTTGTCCAAACGACAACTTCTTAACTCAAGATATTTACAGTCAAAATGCTACTCGTCCTTACGTAAACTAACCACGAAAGCACTGGTTTTATTCAAAAATGTCAAACGCAAAATGTTCCATTTTTCGCCGCATTAATACACGGAATGGCCTGTGGATATGTTTATTACAAATTAATAATGACCAGGGAAATTTGGTAACCACCCACGAGACCGAAATTGACAAAATAATCAACAACAAAAAATAACTCTACGAATGTGTCCTCGGCTTGTGAGTTGTGGATTTATACTAATGATCACGACACATGAAGACGTTTAATGGTGACACAGTAGAAGTGACGGAAGATGAATCTCCGATAAACACGTCAACGCCACCACAAAGGAACAGCAAATAAACAGAGGCACGGATGGCATCCGGCAAACGACCAACAGACACCTCATTTCCTCCGGTTCTTTCCACTTCTGCATTTCAATCACACCCACGCTTCAAATCAAGACTGTCCACACACACACACACTGTTAAGTCGAAAGTTAAATCAGTTTCATGACAAGTTCTTGACAAAATATTCACACAGTAGCTCGTTTTATATGTAATCCCAGACTTTTAAATGCTTTTGATCGAACAGTCTACAACTTTGCCGATTCTATCAGAATAAAACGTGTTTAGTCAATCCTTTGGCCGCACATGCAGGATTTTAGGCTTTCACGGCGGAGTATGAAGATTTCTGTCTTCCGGGTTGTTGCGCCGTGTAGTAAGGTAGATGTCCAGCAACGTTTCAGAGGTCATACTGCCTCCGTCATCAGAGTATGAAGATTTCTGTCTTCTGGGTTGTGGCGCTGTGTAGTCTGGTCGATGTTAATCAACGTTTCAGAGGTCATACTGCCTCCGTCATCAGAGTATGAAGATTTCTGTCTTCTGGGTTGTGGCGCTGTGTAGTCTGGTCGATGTTAATCAACGTTTCAGAGGTCATACTGCCTCCGTCATCAGAGTATGAAGATTTCTGTCTTCTGGGTTGTGGCGCTGTGTAGTCTGGTCGATGTTAATCAACGTTTCAGAGGTCATACTGCCTCCGTCATCAGAGTATGAAGATTTCTGTCTTCTGGGTTGTTGCGCTGTGTAGTCTGGTCGATGTTAACCAACGTTTCAGAGGGCATACAGCCTCCATCATCAGGGCGATGATTTTTAGCTTGCCCGTGATATCTTCTCGTGATGCTATCCATCAAAAGTGTCGTATCCATCATCTATTGCATCTTGCGAGCTAAAAGTTCCGGTCACACGACAACGGAATAAAATAAAGCACCTTCCGATGCAAAATAATTCGCACGAAAGTAATGTCGTAAAACATGCAATGCGATAAGAAATAATCCGGCCGCAAGGCACTAGAAACCGCAGATTTCGAACCAACACAACGGAAATTACCGGTGAACAAGACAACTGTTACAGTCGAGGTTTGAAGGATTATGACAATGGTAAGTCATATGTGTAATAAATAATAAAACTACGTTTCGGAAGCTGGATTCCGCTTCCGTCTTCAGGTACAAAATACGAGAAAAAGGACAGAAAACCCATCTGCTTAGCCCCCTGGTTAAACCAGCCTCAGACTAGTTTTATTATTTTGTAAGTCCGAAAGAACAACTGTTAAAGCCCTCTTAATTTCAAAGGTTGTTCGCGAACTGTTCAAAACATCTTATTACTACACTTCCGTATGAAGTGTTTATTCCTGTAAGCCTCTGAATCCGTATTAATTAAACCCGCATATGACAGAATCTTTTTCCGTGGTGCTTTCAAACACAAAGTGTTTCACTGACCAGACCGATGAACCTCGAATAATATCGAACTGTGACAACATTTGCAATGCCATGCCATGTAATTTCCTCTTCGGCTGTGAGTGTCGATTTTCGGGTTCAAATAGCGTGAACAGGGAGTTAGACCACACTGCAGCATCACTGCTGTCGAGTAAGTGTGAGTATCGATCATTTCAATCGACCAACGCTCGTTATAACCACATCAAAACTTAAACGCAGTTCGCAGGGCCAGACTGCGTATTTTCAGATCCGCGAACCTCAAACTAAAACTATGTTAAGAGAACTTCGTTTCTCTACACGGAGAACTCTTACAATTTGCCGACAAAGCTGGTAAAAACGCGCCCCACTGTTCCACTGTTCATATTTTCGCTGAACTACAAACGCGGTAAAATTTGAGGTTCTCAGAAGATGACAGTCATCTGGAATTTTGAATCGTATAGTCCGGTAAGATACTGACCGACGGTTCAGAGGAGCTTGCTGCCTCCATTATCAGGGGAGTCGGTCCCTATCTACCAGATTAAACAGTGCAATTTTCCACAAGACAACCATCTTCAGTTCTAAACATGATCATCAGGGCTTGACACCCTGATGATGTAGGCAGCAAACGCCTCTGAAACGTCGGTAAACTTCTACCAGATTACAAGAAGCAAGATACTAAAGACAAGTCATTTTAATATTTGCAGCCGTGAGAACCTGAAATCGCACAAAATATCAGCATACTAATTACAATATATGTTCTAGTATGAACCTACAATTTACAATGCCTTAAATAAGCACCGAAGCTAAACTCCAGTGGGAGATCGTACAAACAACTCGTAATTCATAACAACGTACAAGTCCTATTAGAAATAGATGCATTATCTTTCATGTTGCATAAAAGTTCACAATGGAAGCATACGACATATTTTTTGGACACAATGGTTTCGAAATTACATAAAATATAAAATTCAATGTTTATCGTCATCTGTTGCTCCCTTAATTAAAAATAAAGGTTAAAACTGCCCAAGAAACACAGGCCTGTGACGGATACAGAGGCCTAAAACGTTGTCTAATTCGCGTAGCACATCGAAAGATGTTTCAAGTAAAAGTCAGAGATCAAATCTGGAAACAGCAAACGTATAGTGTAACAATTCTGGCACGTTCGTTGTCACTGCCTTTAAGATTTTAAAATCGCGAATTTTAGCTTCAGATGCTGTCCAACATTCTTCGTAAAATAGGCGTGGCATCCAAAATCAGTCTCAACGGTTGAGCTACATAAAGGTCACTTTCGTTTAATATCCTAAATATCGTTAACATTTAAGGGGAAAATGCAAGCACAAAATGTATTTTTCTCACAACTTTCGTTCCAATAAATATTGAGGGATATGAGATTCATGCATCCCAGACGTCAACAGACGTACACTTAAATAAACTACGAAAAGTCACATATTTGAAACCACGCGAAGAAAAATTAATTATCTACAGCTGAACTGCGCTGGTCCACTGGTGACCAATGCTTCTTCTCCGGCTCAGTTTATTATTTATTTATTTATTCAGTGTTCTGTCTGACGACAGGTCCATATGAACAGGATCCTTCCATCCTTTTCTCGGACTGGGACCTGTTCATATACGTTCTTGGCAGATGATCCAGAAGTGGTTTGCCATTGCCTTCTTCTGTGTGTGAATGGAGTAATTGTTGGGATGCCACGGAGGAAAACTCCGTGTTGCCTAGACCACGGCCTTGCCCAACACAAGTTATAAATTCGGGCACCGCCGGGAATCGAACCCGAGACCCCAGGATTACAAGGCCAGCGTTCTAACCGCTAACCCACCGTGGTACTCCGCCTCAGTTAACTTGTTCTAAATCCTCTTTTCTTTTCATTTATGCTAACAATATTGACTCTTCTCATAGTTTCTCTGTATCCAAGAGAGATCGGAGAAATGCCATTCCATCTGATTGTTATTTCCGCAAGACCTGTTGGCACGGTGCGGTCATCGCTTTATACAGTTAATTCAAATACAGACTGTAATTTCAAGCAGAATTTCCTCAAAAAACGACAAACGCTCCATTTCCTTTCAACGAGACAATCCACTTTCACACATTTATACCAGCCAATGTGTTCACAGGAATGGTATCTAAGATGTCCTCAAGGGCGATGATTCTGTGGACCATCGTCATGGTAATGGCATTCTCTTGCCGGGCTGAAGCCGCTCCAGAGGCCTTCATCGCGCCGGCAGATTTTCGCGAGTTGCAGCAAATCGCCCTCGCCGAAAACGGATTACAGGTGAGCCACGTCTGAATCGAGTGTTCTCCAGAGCATGCACTGGTGAGGCACACGTCCTCGTCCAATCCGTAACAACAATCTACCGATATCCTCTTGATGATTACGACGGCGTTCGATAGATGTCGCACCAGAGATTCTTTGAACTCATATTTGCCATAATAATTATTTTGAGGCGACAGATCCCTTTAGATAGGGGATCAGCTTGTCTCGATGTTTTTATCACCACAAAACAAACGACACAGAGGGGTCAAACCTGAAACAGCAGCATGCAAGTGGCCTGATTCCAAAAGAACCTTTGTAGATTATGGCCACAGGGGGCGGACAACAGATAACATTAATATAAACAATCAATTAGACGCTGGGTAATTAAAAGTTAGCGATGAGCTTGAGGCAGGTTAAAAATGCACTGCTTCTTTATCGTACTTATGAGATGGTAAAGTTGTGTCATATTGTGATATAATAAATATATATTATTTAAATCTTGTCCGTCTAATCACAATAAATTCTTATTAAATATTAAAATATTACATTAATTAACATTTAAAATATTTAAAATATTAAATGATGTTCTTTATCGAAATATTCTATTTACATTAGACCATCATTTTTCACACGACATGTTCCAATTCCTAAAAGAACTATCTTCAGGTGTATATAATTATATAAACCTTCAAAACGATAATAACTTAAATACAATTTCTATATATTATTTTAGCGAACATTTTTTATCAGATATCTATGCAGCAAATTAGTTTATTTCTTAGCAATTAGAATAAATGCTTTAAAACTCAAGACATACTTACCAACCTGTGGATCATATATGCTCATTTCTGTACGCGTTTTCAACAAAACAATAAATCAACCCTAACACCTCTAATACATTTGATGAGTGCGAGTACACAGAGTGGATAAATCATAAAATAGGGAGTCGTAGAAGAATTAAGTTAAACATTCAATCAAAAAGCCAAAATTTCTACGCAGAAACAGTGTAACATAGTCAATCCTGTCTTATGTTATACAACACAATATAATGTAATTGCCCTACGTTAACGTCATGAATGGTTAAGTTGAAAGTCCAGAGTTCTGTTTTATAAAAGACAACTGTACCGCTAACAAAAGCCGATTTCTTCCATTCAAGATCATTTTTTTAAGAACAGCCAATTCCGTTCAATTCTGGTGGTTATACACTCACCTTCTTATTCAGTCCTGTAAATCGAGATAATTATAGGGCTTATTCATTGATATTCTTACATGGAATTTCTCTTCAAAAAAGAATCCGCTCACAGAATTCCCTTGGCATCGGATCTCGTACTCCATTCACAGTTCAGTAAAGGAAACATAAGGTGACAATAATTTCACGCCAGAGTACCTTCCGGTATAACAGCTTTCATTTTTTTCGAAATCTAAATACTAGCACAGATTATTCACGTCACCCGATGATCTTTTCTTTAAAAATCTGTGAGCACTTCTGCTATCCTTCTGTGTAATCCCTGACATAAAGTAAAGTTTGTCCCACTATACGCCATGTAGGCGTTTGGGGTGAGTGGAGGTATAGCTCCTCTCTTCCTTGACCTCGGCACTAGATGGGGGGTGAGTGGTCAGCATCACGCCACGGCCGGCTTTACCCCCGGGAAAGGACCCCGGTACCCATTGTAGAGGAGGCTGGGTGGGCCCCAGAGCCGGTCTGGACGCAGAGGCTAGAGGAAAAAAATCCTCTGCCCCCCGTCGGGGATCGAACCCCGGTCGTCCAGCCCGTAGCTACTGACTGAGCTATCCCGGCTCATGTAATCCCTGACATACCGAATTGTTTCTTCGGCAAGTATTTCTCCACACACTTTCACGCAATAAAATTTGCAAATGGTCATTTTCTCACCGCAGAAATCAACTTTGTAAGTCTACATTTATGATTCTTATCTGTCTTCTTCGCTACCTTGCTTGAATTACCAATCAACCAATCAACGCTATCCTTTGCTGCGATCTGCCATGGCCCAGTATAGCTTCTGTCCTATATTTTGACAACCCGTTCTTTCCTTCCGAACCTCCTATTAATCCACGCAGTTAAATTACCTCTCTCTTTGACAGTGAATTTTTCTCTCTTAATTCTTCATTAGGAATATCCCAAACATTATTACTTCTAGATTAATCAGATGTCTGCTAATTAATTTAAAGCATCTTTTCATTATATTGTTTGTTATGAATTGTTTTTATCAATTCTTGGATGAGACATTCACTTATTTTTCTTTGAAGTTGTCAAGTTCTATTATACCAAAAATTTTACGAGTAAAATGAGCAATTTTTACAAAAAAATCTTGAACACCACAACATCCTGAACGAATAACAAAATGAAATAATATTAAAAAGCGCTTAACAGATATTAATGGTTAGAAAATATATCACTTGCAAATTTTAAAAGCTCTCTTAATACTTTGTTTTAGTGTAACTTTTCCCACTTTCTAATTTCTGCATGCTGTAATGTAGTGTACTTAAAGTCACGTAAAGACGAGTTCAAAAAAAAAATATATATATATTTATTTTGTATAAAATTCTTAAGAAAACGAAGACAATTTTCTGGGGAAACGAAGGGTGTAGGAATATGAAAAAATCAAAACAGTCATAGAAGACGGAAAACGATGGTCCAGAACACTGTGAAAACAAAACCCATTTCTCTGATGACAGGATGCGAAGAAAAGGGAAGAAATAGCAACACTCTTCCAGCTACTAGAACAGTACCACAACGAATGGCAACAACAACAGAAGCCCACCGATGAAGAAACGGAAACACAAGACATTGGAGCCCCTCAAGTTCCTGAAGACTACTCAAATCTACCAAACCGCATGCCAGTCGAAACAAAGTTCTTCAGGTCTCAGGATGGAGTTGTCAAAGACGAAACAAAGAGAGGCAACTGTAAGTACAGAAACATTTGTCTCAGATTTTGGGTTCTCACAAAAAGCCTCACATCTAACAATAATACTAACGGCTTCTGTGTGTATGGAACTAGAGCAATTTGTAACCTCATACGATACGAACACTTTCAAAGTTGTAGGTATATCTTCAAATTTATATGAACCTTTTTAAAAAACTAAAATTATCTTCAATTTTAATATTTATTCATAATCATTTTATTTGAAATATATTTAATAACTACTCTCTGTAATAATTATAAATTTCGTAACAGCAAATTGTATTTCAATCACAGTTCTCCTCTCACCTTCACTATTATCTTAGCCACACGGTTCAACGGATGACAACAGTTATTAAATATATCCTGCTTTTGGAATGACACTAGAATATTCATTTCAATATCACTTTCTTAAATATTACAAAAGAAAACAAAGAGTCGTGACATTCCACGAGTAATGCAATGTCAATTTTTTAAATTTGGTTAAGTTGTTCTAAGTGAAAACGTCAAATATCTTATTCAAGTAGCTCAGTCACTTAACATTTTTTGGAAAAAAAATGGGGACATGCTAAGAATATTCCATTCTTAATTACCACCAATGGGTTTCCACTCTAACAGATCTTCACAAATTTATGTCAAATTTTCTTCAATTTATAACTGGCGTAACTGATATAAGACTGAATAACAAAAAACAATTTGTTACTGAACTCTGAAGAAAAGGTAACTTTAAGTCTGGAATAAGCTTATAACATCGTGTGATGATCTAATTCCAACCTATGCTTTTTAATATATGCAATGCTTGGTTATAATGTTGTAAAATGAAATCCACTAACAAAATCTCTGACAAAGAATTAACAGTCAAAAATAGTACAAAACTAACTTATGTACACGGCTTTCATTCCTTCAAATGCACGTATTCAATTAACAGTTAAAAACAGCTACCATTACTTAACAACAGCTGTTCAGGTCATCAGGACATCATTGCATGTGGTCATGTCGCCGAACACACTGTTCGGATACCAGGACATCATTGCATGTGGTCATGTCGCAGAACACACAGTTCGGATACCAGAATAACAACACGCAAATTACAGGGACATACAGGACTTCGTCCAGTGAAGTCTCATTTGGCTTATTATCAAATATATTTCTCTTTCATTTTAGACATGTCCTTATGCCACTTCAAGATCTGCAATATGGGTCGCAAACGAAACTTTCGTTGGAATCCTTGGATCCGTCGCTGAGCCTAACTGATTTCAACACTCATTTGACTCCCTTATATATTTTTTTTTATTTATTCAAGGCAAGGCAAAATAAACCCAAGATCTGATAAAACCTACAAAAATGTTGTCCTAAATATTTCTTCTGCATGGTTAACCCTCCCAAATTTCTTATATAAAATCAGATGTATTGTAATTTAATTGTCTTTTTTTTTATGAAAATATTTTATATTAAAGTTTCATGCCATAATATTATAAACACAACTATGATTATTCATATATTGCACTGTCCTCATTAATTTTTATTTTAGATTTTATCTAGTACCTTCTAATTTTATGTCCCGTGCCAAGCACATGCGTTTAATAGCTTTAATATTTAACTCTTCACCTTTAAAACTGAGGACTGATTATAACGACCTGCTTGCATGAATGTTACTTTGTGGATTAACAACACGAAAACCGGAAATTCTTAAAAGCACGTTTGTGAGAATCTGTTGCTTTATGTTTCACGCTTATGGAGAAGATGACATTTGTCAGGTGATAATTTTGGAATTATAAAAATGCATGCTATATAGCTGGTTGCTCTGACACACGCACACACACAAAAAAAAACAGCGTTACCACCAAATCAGTACAGATCTGTATAGGAATGGCAAAAGTTCAGTGGCAGCAGATAGCTGTCGGTATAATATCAACCAGCTTACATTTCTGCACATCTAAAATCATGTTTACAAGAAATAATCCTAGAGAAAACTGAAGCTGCAAAAGGATGTAATATGAATGGTGAGGTACACCTGAAGCATGCGGTACCCATTGTCTCTCACATTCATATGGTCACATGGTTGGTCCCACCATTTTGTCCATGGTGTTACAAAAAACTACACAATTTTGTTCTGTCCAAATATAACACAAAACTTTCCTTACATTATTTAATATTTCTCTTTCTGGTGTTGCTTCTGCATGAACACTTGCATCAGAATACAGTGAGGACATCTGGTAGCTACGCTCGTGGCACAACATAGCCTTTCTACTATGCATGATCACCGTGTTAGTTTCCCACACCGAGCGGCACAGCTGCCAAATGTATTCATTGTACAGGTCATAGATAGTTTTTTTAATTTTTAGCATGCTGTTGTGAATGAAACTTTGGAATATTAAATAGCTTTACATAAAACGTTTTCAATTAACTAACAATGTAAATGCACCATTACTGCAATCATAACTAAGTCTGTAGGACGCACGAGAAAATAATGTTACTTTCTGAAATCCTCACGCAACTCTGAGCAGTCTGATATTAGAGAATAGTCCGATTCTGAATGCTGAACGTTCAGATGGGAGTCTTACAGCATTTATAATCAACAAATGAGTTCATTGCTTTGTTAATTAGTAACACACAAATAGAGGAAGAATGTTCATTTTGAAAAGTCTCTGAAAGCAATCAACATCATACACAAAACCTCTAAAGCTTTATAACTTAGGCAGTTGAAACAAAACAAAAGACTTTCAGCGCCTCTTGTCAATAGTGACGCAACAGAACATGAACTATGGTCTCAGGCGTAATGTCAAGCTTGACAGAAATGTGACATACTGAATTTACAAAATGTTACTGCTAACAGAACAGCAATGAAAGAAATCTGTAGTATTCTCGTGTCAAATACAAACTCAACTGAACATAGTCGTTATTAAAGATCTGTTATTTGCTCAACTGGTCGAGAAATTGATAAAAGATGGCCACCTGACGCGGCTTGTAACCCGAGAATCTTTTATCAACTTCATATTTTGGTCAAGAAATGTCTTATGGTCTATAGAACCCAAAGGTTCATTATCATGTTCAATATAATATTTGATTATCATATGGAATACTAATTTCACATGAACAAATTTTTGTAGATGTTCCCGAAATCTTAATAAACACAAAATAGATTTGCAGTGATGGTGTTAAGAAGTTACGTCCTATACGTTAAACTTCCATCTTTGTTTACTTTCAGATCCGCCACCACTTTGCTACTTCAAGATCTGCAATATGGGTAGAAAACGAAATCCTCATTGAACTTCTGAACTCTACGCAGAAAGTAGCAAAGGAAAGTGACTCTCTACATTCCTCATCCTTCAAAATCCCAGAATAAAAATATAAATTATGAAATAAAAATGTCAGCATCTTGAATTTTGTTTTAAGCAATCACAGATATTTTCACACTTTGAAAGTGAACTAACACTCTCAATTAATATTATTTAGAATTATTACAACTTAAAAAAACACTAGTGAAAATGCCAGATTGTGAGGGAAAGAAATATTCCTTCCCATGGCCTATGTCATCATTTTCATACAGTGTAAAAAAGTTTTTTGTTCAAATGCTGACTGCAAAGAAATGAAAGACATTCCCATAATACGATGTTTGATGTACATTAGTGCTACAGTTAACTGTATTAATATTTTATCAAGAAACAGTCACAATTTCCGACCTGAATACTTAGCGTCAAAACATACTGAAAAATTCTGAACATATTTCATGTGAGACCTTAAATCTTCACTGAAATTTCAAAAGATCATGAATTGTCAGGGCATAAATATCAATGAAGAAATTGTGGCAGATAAGTCTGGTTATTCCAGACACGAGAGCTACAATTTCTTTGTGTTTCAAATTAGTCAAATGTGGAAGCTGGACTTGGTGTCTACAATAACTTCGAGACTTCATTCTGTTCATTTAAAACATATTCCTATTTCATTTCACACTCATGTTACGAAAAGAATTAAAGCTCAAATGGCATCACATATCTTTTGTACAACTTTCAATATTGATGTTAATCTGGACTGGACACATTCAGCCTAGCCAAAGCAAAGACAGTGTCGATGTGAAGACAATAACAGTAAACTCCACACCCCAATTCTCAGCCCTTCTCCACCCTATTTCATTTATATTTAACACATTCAACTTAGAAGTACTGAAAAATAGTATTTTAAAATTTCAAGTATGTATAATAAAATGAAAATAAGAAAATATATATCCAACAGTAAAACATTACCTAAAGTGTATTTATTATATCATTTATATACATTTAAATTATTTAATTGCTATTGCGTACCTGTACCCAATTTTGTGTTGTTGTTGTAGCAGATATTTTCAACTTTATTATTATTATTAATATTATTATTGTTTTGTTATTATTATCATTATAATCTGTCACCATAAAGTAATAAATGTGTAGTACTTGCATTGCATTAACTTTTGTCTCAAACTATCCATTAAATCATTCATAAGACCATTTTAACAGATGAATAAATTTTGAAAATAAGAAATTAATAATAAAGTAAATTTCAGATCAGATATTGATGCTGTTATTTAATGTAATACTGCAATTTTTGTTTGCAAGGAAAGGATTGTGAATTCTGTAAAAATTCTTATTTTCAAAACTGCTTAAACATCTTATTTATTTATTTATTCAATAATTTATTTATTTAATTACCGTTCATTTATTTACTTACTCACTCATTCATGCATAATTATCAAGTCATGCTGACCTGGTTTCACCTGACTTCTCAAGTTTAAGGTACGTGTACTGACGCAGACAAGGAAACGCGACAAAGATGGCTATCTTTCAGGTTCTGCACCATGCAGTCTGGTAGAAATTTACCAATATTTCAGAGGTCTTAATGCCTCCATCATCAGGGAAAGTATAAATATAAACAGACAACAGGATGTGTTTAAGAACGTAATTATAAGACAACAACTTATAACGTGATGCGCGATCGTAAGAGTTTTAAGTTTCAGAGGGTTGGTAATATGTACTGAAAAAAGCTCTGCTGTGATCAAAGTCCACAAATCTGGCCGTAAATGATACGAGAGCAATTATATATGTCTGACATAATGTCCACTAAGAGTTTCAAAAAGGCAAATGAAATAATTATTCTCAAAAATATTAGGCAGCGCAACAAAATTTCTAGCTGGTGTCTAGGTGTCCAGGGTCCGTAAAGCCCCAAAATGAAGCCAATGTTTACAACATACACGTTTTGCAGAAATGTGATTAACTCTACTCACATAACTTTAAACATATCTTCTTCCTCAAACGTTTCCCAATTAAACCAGGGTAACCACAACTACTAAGAAACATGTCACCACGGCTTGTGACGGTGGCGACAATGGTTAAAAGCAATGAAAGCAAACACTAGAAATACATACTCACAGTCATAAAACTGCCAGAAAAATCAATCAGCAACTGCAAGGACAGAAGATATCCGTCTTCTGGGTTATTGCGCTGTGTAGTCTGGTCGATGTTTACCAACGTTTCAGAGGTCATACTGCCTCCATCATCAGGGTGGCTTTCTTGATCCGAAGAGCCTCGAATCAAGAAAGCCACCCTGATGACGGAGGCAGTATGACCTCTGAAACGTTGGTAAACATCGACCAGACTACACAGCGCAATAACCTAGAAGACGGATATCTTCATACTCACCGCTGTGAGAACCTCAAGTCTTACAACTGCAAGGACAGTTAAGAGTCAACTAATACCGCATGTGAATGGATTAACATGTCTGAATAGTACATCCCACAAAGCAACTATTATGACCATCCATTCTGCTACAGTATTTCACCGCAATGATTAATATACAATTTTGATTCATGTCATACTTTATTCTCATACTAATTAAACTTTATATTTATTGTAGACGCTGCACTATTATATTTTGTTTATCTGTTGGCTTTAGCTAATGTTTATAAAGTTACAATGCCAATAAACTTTCAGTGTGTAAGTCCTTCTAAATGAAATGTAAGTACGGATGGTATTTTGTAGTGGCACGTTCATTTTAGTAGCATGCAAGTCACGTGACTAAAATGCCAAAAAGATTTAATCCAGATTATTCAATGATTTGAATGCTTAGTAGTGGTGCTGAAACCACGATAAACCTTTGTATGAAATTAAGACTACGCTAGACAGTCACTGGCAAAACAATGGAATGAGGTACAGCTGAACTCAGTATGTACTATTATGTAAAAAGTCAATCAAATTAAAGTTTAATTATGTCCTATACACACATCACATGAAGATTCACATCCACATTAAAGTTTAATTATGTCCTATACACATGAAGACTCACATCAATGAAGTTAAAAGCAAAATGTTATTTCATTTAAAACTAAATTCCAACAGCCATTTTTTCATCGTTAAATATCTCGAGTACATATGCAAATATTATTCTGAGATGTCATCAGCTCAACCGTCGATAACCAGCAGCTCATCAACACTAAATTATTCCTTGAATAATTACCAAGATTTCTATCAAATCAGAAGAACCAAAAACTGGTAATTAAGTGAAAGTTTGTAAAATTATTGCAGTTAGAAAATATACTTACAAGATTTGAATTAACTCCTGGCACCAAAATATCCAACACCACAAATATCTAAAAACAAGAATATTTCCATTAGTCTGAATGATTATGACTACAAAACATGCACTTGTATACCACAAAATTAATTATAACTTTTTTTTAATTTATGTTTACTGGACCTAACACTAACATAATACAATTAAAATGAATTTAGACTAACTTAAACTACTGCTAAGTCAGACTTGTTGGAAACAATGTGTTCACAAACAACACAGAAGTTGATTTTACCTTTGCTAATACAAATTAAATATGCTTGAGTATACATGGTCAACATGTAATAAAATTACATCAAAATAAATAAATTTTGAAAAAAATGCAGAAATTATTCAGTCACTTGATGACGAGATGCAGAGGCAGGCCCAGACTTACAGCAAGAAAGTCTATGAGATATTCCCAAAGCATTTCCATTGCTTAAATGAACTCATATTATTAAGATTACACCTAAAATACTGCATAAAACACACTAATAATCGCATTACATTGAATGTAGTATGCAGTTTTATCATGGGCAGGTAGGCTCAAGATAGTAACAGAATGTGAGAACACTACAGTCATTTGTTACAACACACAGAATAGCATTTCACATTCCCTTATTATCTTTTTCACCTTGTGGCATCTTAAGAAACACAAAACATGAAAACATGTATCCCCATGTGAAAAGAACCAATAACTTTTGAAAAGTATATGACTAAAATGGATCCAAGATACAAGACATGCCGCATGTCCAAGGTACGACACACACCAAAATTCAGAAAATTATTTAAATAACCTCCACACTTGGCAAAGAACAATGCACAGTGTTGCACTATGATACTTTCATGTAGTATAAAATGTGTTGCCATTTCCTTAAGAAAACATGAATTTGTATCATTAACAATAAAACAACTTAAAATATTTTCTCAACCAACTTATAAATAGAAATTTTGCTTAAGAAAATTAACAAATCTTTCAATGGCAGTGAAATTACGACTAGCTGCTTCCAGAAGGTTGTCAAGCTTAAATAATTACTTTCCAAAATTTCCCACCACATGCAATCGCATATACCTGACATGGGCCATGGTACAAGATGATTCAAACTTGTCCCTCATATAGTGCCTATTCAAAAAGCAAACAAGATGATTCAAACTTGTCCCTCATACAGTGCCTATTCAAAAATCATAACTAATTCTCAGTAATTTTGGATGTAACATGTATGTTTTGACAAGACACAAAGAAAACATTTGTGTAATGCATTTTCATAAGTCAGCAAACCTATCTCCAACTAATTCATTCCTCATTGTACATATTTAGCCAAATGGCTTCTTTCTTGAATAAATCGTTATGTACATGAAAATAAATCATGCACAGTTGCTCCTTAATCTAGGTTTCTGTATAGTTATTAGGCCTGTAATTCTATACCCAACCAACTGAACATCATATTTAATTGGCTAGAATGAATTAGGTTTGATTTTATACATTCAGTGGAGCATCAGGATGTACAACAAATCAGTGAACACAAACAAAAAAAACACACAATATGGAAATCAAGACACAATATTCTCTTGTATCATATTTTAGATGGAGTAGACTCAAATATCAGCCTGAAGATTGGGTATTCATACAGGTTTCTGGTGGCCTTCCTCAGTTCTTCCAGGCAAGTGCCAGACTCATGTATTAAAATCATACTATGACAGTTTCCTCCCACATCCATTCCAATTCATTATTTACTGATTTCATCAATCGACGCCACATAATCTGATCAACCACGAACGTCCCTTCTATATTTCAAAATTTGGTTTTTATTTAGATGAGAGATGAAGGTAGCCCTTTACGCACCATTTTCACAACTGCATCGTAAGGATACACTAAACATACATTAATTTTGAAAAGATTTCAAATACAATGACCATTATTATACATCACATGCAGTATAGTAACAAAGCATGTTCAGAAGTTTGTGGGAAATACCGAAATTAGCACATTACGAATGATATTAGGAGAAATAATATTTTCCGCGATATACCTTGTGTACAGATTCAAATACACCTTCACTACCACCGATTACCCAGGTGCACCAATCAGTCCTCAAAACATAACCTATCACGATATATTAAATCTATCAGCCAACGGCGGCAATGAGATCCAAACCAGAAATTTCAACCAATGATGTGTAAATCCAATGCCAAGGTAGCGCCGGTGCATATTGTGCTGCCACCTGTGAACATTCATACGTAAACACAACGTAAAAGTGCGACAAAAGCAATAGCTCGGTCGGTAAGAATGAATTGCCACTGTGAAATCCTGTGAAATTTTTTTGCAAAGTTGGTACAAATCTCTTCATGGTCATAAGTATCCACATACTTGTCCCATAAAAAGAAAGAACAAACGATAACAAAAACATGCTAAATAAATTATCGGCTATGTAATATTGTATGCGTATTAGGAATTCAAGTTACAGACATGAGATCCTGTATTCTTCTAACTGTAATGTGTAATGTGATCTAAGGATATTACTAACCTCTGTTGAACTCCACCGGTTTAATAAAAATAGAACTGCAAAATCGTCTGTGCACAGTGAGTACGTAAAGTCTAACAAACGTATAGAGAACATTTTGTGTTTCTAACTTTACCAGTACGTAGACTCTTTGGCCAGTTTCGAGACACAAGATAACTCGTATCCCGATCGGGATATGAACCAGAAACGACAACATATTCACGGACCACCATTATAGTAACACGTGCAATGTCATTCGAATCACAAGAACTCGGGTTCTAAGAAGTGGCTGACCTTGAGAGAATGCCCCATCATTGTCTCGCTGCAGACCGCCTCAGATGACGTACGAATTGAAGGAGAGAAGTCACGTTCCAGCTTTACACACGGTGAGTACTCGAGTCTTGCTGACTGCTTTAAAGCTTCGTATGGGGAACGTTGAACGCATGAACTTCTTTTGTGTCGTGGTTTTAGTGTGGTTATGGGCACTATCGAATAATTATTTCAAACCAGAACGAAACTCTGGAATTATCATTCGATAATGAAGATGGCTGTAGTCTTGATTACTACGCCGTGCAGTCTTGTTGAAGTTTACCGACGTATCAGAGGTGACTACCGCGTCTATTATCAGGGTGTCGGTGAACTTCTACGATGCTACACGATGCAGCAACCCATAGGAGAGTCGGCCGTCTTCAAACTTGTAGTTACAACCTGAAATCTCATGATCATTTGATAGTTTTCATTTGAATCATCATTCAGGTGATGGTATTAAATCGATGGAAAATGTTTAGACTGTAATAAACGCCTCAGTCCAATATGAAATTTATGTTTTAATGTATTTTTTGTTGTAATACGTGTCGGCGAGGCCCTGGGCGAGATTGACTAGGAAGGCCACAGCTAATTTCAGTTATAATTTTAACGAACAAATTTAGAAATCTGAAGATAATTCAAATAAAAAAGATGCGTTGTTCTGTACACGGCCGTAAACAGCATCAGTGTTGAGCTTTGACATGAAGTGTCTGTACTCTTACGTCATAATCAGGTGACATGCTGAGCAGGAAGTGTAGCAGTAAGGCGCGACTGGATGGCCGGACCGCGGTAGTCACAGGAGCCAACAGTGGCATCGGGAAGGCGACCGCCCTGGATTTGTTTCGTCGAGGTAAGGCAACTCAGAAATTGGGATAAATTAATAGTAATGAAGTGATTTAATCCAATAGGTTATCCAAATTGGCCATCCCATCACTAGATAGAAAAATACTCTCGTATTCACATGTGTTTGAAATTCAATTTCTCATGATATCCGTCGTATTTCTCATATATTGACGTACCAAAATTACAATGGTATTTAGACTCGGAGTACGTTGATTGCAATGCCAAAACTTTCAAGTGTTATAAGCACGTGCTTAACAGAACATGTCGATCAAAAGGCTCGAGGAAACATATCGATTTGACTGTTTTCATATTGTCGGCGTTGAACCGTGGGATTCCAAGATCTAAAGGTACAATTTGTCTGCACGCGACAGAGACAAGGGACCGAGGCAGGCGACAGAGTTACGAGACCGAGACTGGTCGCTTCCTGTCTGCTCTCTGTACAATCGTATGAAGTACAATTACGAGCGCGAGACAGAGACAAAGCACAGGAGACCGCTCTCGGACCAGTAGTGTCTCGCGACGGGCTCAGGCAGCACGTGTGTTGTAGGTTTTCTTTGTTTCTTTCGCAACAAATAACACAGCAACACATCATCTTCTTCGATTAACCTTTTTAGAAGCATTTTTGTACTCATTTTTCACAGAATATGTGCACGTATGTCTCAACAAAACAAAGAAAACAAACACTTCGCCGCATGTCTCGGTCGTCACCTCAAAAGTGTGTGGCGACAAGCTGCGATGTGTCCGTCTCCCGTCTCTGTCGCCTGCTTCGGTCGCTTGTCTCTGTCGCGTGCAGCCAAATTGTACCTTTAGCTGTTTCGCTGTCTCTCCAGGTGGCCGAATTATCTTGGCTTGCCGGGACCTGAAGCGCGCACAGGAAGCTGTTGACGACATCAGGAGACAAACTTCCGGTATCGAGGGTCTCGGAGAACTGGTGATTGTGCATCTGGACTTATCGTCCCTCGCCTCGGTACGAGAGTGCGCCAAGAATTTGTTACGCACTGAGAAACAAATCCACCTTCTCATCAACAATGCTGGTAAGTCACACGACGACCTGGGTTCAAATCCCGAGGTTTCTAAACACGTGCGACCGGAAGATAATACAGTTAACCGACCGGTTCGAATAAGAATGTGGATTATTACATCTCGATAGTCGGTAATACTGGGATTTCATTTCGCAGGAGTGTGTTTCATCCCCAAGAGATTGACTAAGGATGGCTTTGAGATGCACCTCGGCGTGAATCACTTCGGACACTTCCTCCTCACCAGTCTCCTTCTTCCTTGCATTATCCGCTCGGCCCCAGCCAGAATTATCACAGTGTCATCAAAGTTTCACACAATGGGTAAATACAAATAGAAACAAATTTCTTTTCTGCATAATTGCGATAGTTACATTTATCTACAAACTTCACTGCAACATTGCGGAAGACAGTCGTGTTTAATCTGCTGGTAAATTAACATTTAAAATGTTTAACCTGCCATTACAGATCCAAATATACCTCTAGATGACGTCGCTTGGGAAAACCAGACATTCAGTACTTTTAAAGCGTACTCACAGTCAAAGCTGGCAAATATTCTGTTCACCAAGGAATTGGCCAACAAATTACAAGGTAAAGGCACGAGGCATGGATAAGTTTGCTTTCAGCTCGTAAATACGAGAAGGAAGACTCGATTGAAAGAACCCGAAAAGAGATTCACAATTTTAGTGTAGAACCCTGATACTCTATACCCCTAAGGTACATTTTAATATTTGAGGAGGATATTTGGGCCTAGGAGGGAAGACGATGGGACGTGGAGAAAACTGCATAATGACGAGCTTAAAAATCTGTACTCCTCCCCCAGTATTGTCAGGGTGATTAAGTCGAGGAGAATGAGATGGACGGGGCATGTAGACCGAATGAATGGTACAAGAGGTGTGCACCGGGTATTGGTCGGGAAATCTGAAGGGAATAGACCGCTGGAGAGACCTAGACGTAGATGGGAGGATAATCTCAGGCGGGATCTATGGGAGATAGGAGTTGAAGGAGACTGGATTTTGTTGGCCCAGGACAGGGCTTTGGTTAATTCGGTGATGAACCTTCGGGTTCCGTAAGCCATCTGGTTGGTTGGGTCCACTATTTGGGAAGCCTGAGGGGAAGAGACCTCTGGGGAGACCTAGACGTAGATGGGAGGATAATCTCAGGCGGGATCTATGGGAGATAGGAGTTGAAGGAGACTGGATTTTGTTGGCCCAGGACAGGGCTTTGGTTAATTCGGTGATGAACCTTCGGGTTCCGTAAGCCATCTGGTTGGTTGGGTCCACTATTTGGGAAGCCTGAGGGGAAGATGCCTCTGGGGAGACCTAGACGTAGATGGGAGGATAATCTCAGGCGGGATCTATGGGAGATAGGAGTTGAAGGGGACTTGATTTTGTTGGCCCAGGACAGGGTCCGGTGGAGGGCTTTGGTTAATTCGGTGATGAACCTTCGGGTTCCGTAAGCCATCTAGTTAGTTATCATTAAGAAATGTCTTCCATCCTACTATCAGTTCCTTTGTCTTTCGTAAAATATTCTTTTCTGTGCATCCATAGACTTCTGTAACCAAGTTGAAACCAGTCCTGGTGATTACATTGGACTGACAATGGCTTTAGTCTAAAAAGAGGCTTTCAAATTTATAATTATAACACAGGAACAGGAGTGACAACGTATGCCGTGGAGCCAGGTGTGGTATCGACTGATGCCCTGCGGTATGCAAATGAGTCCATGTTCCAAGGTGCGAGGTGGCTGCTTCGAATGTTTAGTCCTCTGGCAAAAACAGCGACACAGGGAGCCCAGACAACGATTTACTGTGCAGTGGACGAGAAGGTGGTCGCAGAGAGTGGGTTTTACTACGGGTGAGTGAACTGATGAGTGGGAATCTTAAAATTACACTTTACGTTGTATTGCAGCTGGAATTTGTTTTGTATTGGTGCAGGAAAAACGTCGTTTAACACAGGCACTGAAACTACATGACATGATGGTCACTCTGATTCATACAGATCGGCATAAATAAGCGTTTAAAAAATAACTTTAGAATAACCTTGAAAGTTTCGAAGGCATCTATTCGGGACGCCTAGGGATGGATATTGTCGTGACCTTTACATGAAACTGAACGATCATTGACCTAAAACTGACATGAGCATGGTCACTCAGATTCCTACACATCGGCAGAAACAGGCGTTTGAAAAAATTACTTTTAAATGATCTTGAAAATTTTAAACGCTGGTTGGGATATTGATGTGACCTTGACATGATGTTGACCTGTTCTTGACCTCAATCTGGCATGAGTGATTCCTCACACATAACGAACGTAAGGTTAGCGAACGTAACCTAACACAACCTAACGTAACCTAACCCAACCTATCCCATCGTAATCCAACCTAACCTAATCCAAATTAATCTAATCTAACCAAACCTAACCTAACCTAACCTAACCTAACCTAACCTAACCTAACCTAACCTAACCTAACCTAACCTAACCTAACCTAACCTAACCTAACCTAACCTAACCTAACCTAACCTAACCTAACCTAACCTAACCTAACCTAACCTAACCTAACCTAACGTAACGTAACGTAACCTAACCCAACCTATCCCATCGTAATCCAACCTAACCTAATCCAAATTAATCTAATCTAACCAAACCTAACCTAACCCAGTTTAATCTAATTTGCCTAAATCGACTAGACTAATATTCGGAATGTTATTACAAGGACCAAGACATCGAGTTAATTTATCTTTGACCTCAGATATGAGCATTGACAATTAGATTCCCACAGATCGGCAGATATATGTCTGATAAGATTGTGACCTTTATCTATCCGTAGCCTGAACTTGAGAAAATATTGTCATTTAAATATTTAGTTCGGTAGAAATAAGCATTACAAAAATGATAATGAAGGACCTGGAAATTCCAAAGGCCTTTTGTCGGCAAACACTTGGGCTGATACCGGCGTCACCTTCTCATGAATGTGACAAACCTAACCGAAACCTTACCTAACACATCATAAACCTGTTATGGTAATTCAGATACCTACAGTTGGGCTTAAATAGGCGTTTGTATAAATAACCGTGAAACGACCTTGAAAAAATTAAGGTCCTTTAACGCTACAACGGATATTGTTGTGACCTTGACAAGCTTAAATGCTTTAAATGAACTGTCTGCCTTCAGAAGGAATTACTTTGAAAATACTGCGTCTAGATCTGATAGTACATAAGAATGTCTGGCCCGAAGGCCCGCGTTCTTTAAACACCGATCTGTGATCTATGAGTCGTAAAAGTTTCTCTTCAGGAGGCAAAGGCTCCTGTGGAAGACTGCTGGAAAACACTGTAGTCAAGCACAAGGTATTCGGAGGATGGCTCAGACGGCACAGCCGCTCATTAACCAAAGAGTGAAGGGATCGACTGAAGGTCGCAAGGCGTGTTTCAATAAGCACGCGATACGTGGTTGCACGAGACAGCGGTACAGCCCATGTTTTGTAACATGAGAAGTCGGTTATCACCCAAGATTGCTGACCTCACGTTAGGTCAAGTCAAGCTGTGTGAACATTAATATACGAGGTGCGATCGGAAAGTTTCTAGACTGCGCGTATAAAATCCCGTACACTTATCTCAGGTATTAAATTCATCCATCACCCTCGAAGTAGTTCCCCTGGGAGTGAACACAACGATCCCAGCGCCGCTGCCAAGCCTGGAAGCATCCCTGGAAATCTTTCTTTGTCAGCCTGTCAAGCACCATCTGCGATTCTGCCTGAATCTCTTCTATCGTCTCACATCTCCTTCCCTTTAGCTGAATTTTCATCTTTGGGAAGAGGAAGAAGTCACACGGAGCTTAGAAAGGAAGTTGGGGTCGGTTCTTGCAAGATCTTTGAGCTCCTGACAAACGAGAAGTCGATTCTGCTTCTGGTCCTCTGACAGGATGCGTCGCATGTGGAGTTCTTCCTTTAGAATCAGCTGACAGGTCCCAACAATGTCGCACAAGTCGTTGATGGTACGACGTCGATCTTCGTAACATTTTCGGGCGTTGTGCTCGAAGATGGTCGTCCAGAACTCTCGTCATCATCGACAGAGGTTCGGTCATTTTTAAAACGTGAATGCCACACCAAAGTTTGCGGACTCCCCAAATGCTTGCTTTAGCATTTCATAGGTTTCCGTAGCCGTTTTGGCGAGTCTTTGGCCAAATTTGATGCACACGCCATTCCGAAATCGCAGGAGGGTCGGTGTAATGCACTACCAAAACGCCCGTAACTAAGAAACAAATGCTAATTCGATGATTCCGGCTGGCACACTGATTCACTATGAATGTAGGCCGCACCCCCTAGCGGCAGACGCTCGTACTACATCCGGTTTGTCCTCTATTGACACAGTCTTGAAACTTTCCGATCGCACCTCGTATTGCATTTGTTGGAACCAGTTGGCGTGTACCGGGGGTGTTGTCGAACAAAGATGCCTTTAGCTTATACGTTTTACATTCCATTCCAGCAACTGCAGATTATCAACGCCGTCGACTGCAGCGAGGGACCCGGAGAGGGCCAAAATGTTATGGGACGCAAGTGTTCGTCTGGTGGGCCTTGAGAACTGGGACCCGTTCACCGCAGGAGATGTGTTTCCTTCAGACTGTGCTGAGAACACGAAGCTCTGAACAAGCTTTTGCAGCAAGAAACACTGTGCAAATAATCACGCGAAATTTAAACTACGTAATTCTTTTTGTAAATCTGGATGAAAAGAAAAAAAAAATCTCTGTGTTAAGATCTCGAAAGATTATGTTTTTAGACATTAAACTATAAATGATATTGTAGCGTAGGAATGGATTTATTTCACAATATTACAGTTACTTTCTGAATTAATGTCTGTCACTTCACAAGAGAAATTCCTCATTTACTTCGTAATATTCTTCCTCTGATCACGTGATGCCGGTCTGTAAACTCCCAATTCTGCCGTGTCTACGTCACTGCGAGGTCATCAAAAGCGTGAAGCGCTTTGGTCACTGGAGTGGCTGGTCCAGGGAGTTTTTTAGTTCATAGTTCTGTCAATGGTTCCAGAGATTGCTTCAACGCTCCAGAATACGCCACAGGCAGCCACAAGACCTTTCCAGAACTCGATCCATACCACCACACTCAGCCCTCAGCCTTTGTGAGTGTGCGGAAATGGTTGGGGGGTGAAATTGCCGCTGTAATTCGGACATTGCTATAAGTTTCCAGCACTTTCAGTGACGTAACACAAGGCCGATTTCCGTCGCTGAAGCAGTGGAGCTTTTGACAATATTTTCTACATAAAATTAACAATATTCCCTGAAACTGTTCATTTGATCCGGATTACACTGTCTTAGGTTTTCCAAGAAAATATTTTATTATCTTATTAAAAATTGTGATTTGACGGAAAATATTAAAATATTAACCTAATTCACAATATGACGCAAATATACTACCTTAAGAAATATATTGACTTTCAGACTCAAGTTATTGCAAAACTAATTCTCATAATCGAGTGGTGGATGATAAAATCCTTAGCATCTTAGCCTTGTTTTCGAAAGGTCCCGAATTCGATCCCAACACTCGTAACCATAATTCAATGAAAAGTAGTACGATTTGAAACGCTCAGTAAAATCCAAAGTCGGTCTTCCATTTGCATCAGTCATTGAGGACGATGGCGTTATCAGGATGATGAAATTATCGCAAATTCCCATATAATCATGGGTAATGACGTCTTTATCATCCAAAGTCACGAATCTGAATCGGCTATGGACAGGCCCGTAAGAAATCTGTCAATATTGCAACAATAAATTTCACCAAGGCAGGAATTATGCAACACCCCCCGAAACGTCTGAAGTACCTGTACCACTTACTTAAGACAATCGAATACATGAAGATGGCTGTCTTCTGGGTTGTAGAGTCGTGTGGTCTGGTAGAAGTTTGCCATCGTTTCAGAGATTACGGTTATCTGGGAAGGAGACGACCTATCCAATTCAAAAACCGTCACCCAGGATTTTACTGAACAAAAACCACGAAACTCTACAGGGTGGATTCGAAGACACGTTCGGCTGAGATATTATTCTGGTTCGAACCGTCACAGAGCTGACAAAGCTTCACAGTCCCCTAGAACTGGATGCACTCCGTATTTAAGGTCGTCAGTTACAAAAGGGCCCGAAGGTGATATTAAATCGCGTCTAAGTAACTTTTCTCCTTCGGGCCATGTTCTGAACCAGTTTAATATTTCCCACAAATATTTTTTCAGATCCTACATTAACATCATCTCGTGTGGTCTATTATTATTAGTGTTCTGTCTGAGGACAGGTCCATATGAACAGGATCCTTCCATCCTTTTCTCGGACTGGGACCTGTTCATACACGTTCTTGGCAGATGATCCAGAAGTGGTTTGCCATTGCCTTCTTCTGTGTGTGAATGGAGTAATTGTTGGGATGCCACGGAGAAACCGGGGAAGCCCCCGGAGGAAAACTCCGTGTTGCCTAGACCACGGCCTTGCCCAACACAAGTTATAAATTCGGGCACCGCCGGGAATCGACCCCGAGACCCTAGGATTACAAGGCCAGCGTTCTAACCGCTAGACCACCGTGGCGGTTAACATCATCTACACAAGCCTATTATGTCTTCAGAATTCACTTTATTCCTACCTATTTTACATGGGGAAATTTCCTTCCCGACAGAAAGATGAAATTAATTAGCGGAAACTTCATATTTTTTAGTATTCATCGATGTTATTAGGGGGGGGGGGACGGTCAGATCATTAAAAATGTAATCGACAGGAAATTAGAAGTGCATACAAAACTTCAGTCGGTAAACATGACAACTTCGGACAGTCTGGCCAACATGTCAGGATTAAAATGAGAACATGTGAACTGAGAAAGCTCAGAATAGCATCCAGTGACAGGCTTTTGTGAATACAGTGGGTTGCATAGAAGGCTGGGGAATTTCTTTACACGCTGAGTGACTATCAGCTTCTCAATGAGTACTCTGTCTCATTGAGTTAGTTTTCAATTCCTCTCCCCCTCCCCATGTAAAAAGTAAAGTAAAGTTTGTCCCACTATACGCCATGTAGGCGCTTGGGGGGGAGAGGAGGTATAGCTCCTCTCTTCCTTGACCCCGGCACTAGATGGGGGTGAGTGGTTAGCATCACGCCCCGGCCGGCTTTACCCCCTTGAAAGGACCCCGGTACCCATTGAAGAGGAGGCTGGGTGGACCCCAGAGTCGGTCTCCACTCAGAGGCCAGAGGAAAAATCCTCTGCCCCCGTCGGGGATCGAACCCCGGTCGTCCAGCCCGTAGCTAGTCACTATACTGACTGAGCTATCCCGGCTCATTCCCCCTCCCCATGACTAATTCTTAATTTACAACTGTCCAACCCTCTTATCGTGGGTCAGTAGTGACCGAGTCCCCTGTTCGTCCCTGAAGGGACCATGTCAGTACAAGAGCTCCGCGCAATTAAGTCGGTGAGATTAGCGTGCGTTGCTTCGATTCCCGGTAGGTTTTGTATATTAATTCAGCTTCTGAAGTGCTTGTATTCCATGATATTCACTAGGGGTAGGTCACAGAATTTACAACTATCGACAGCTCATGCATGAACAAATCTGTTCCCACTAATAAATATTATAATTTATATGCAGTGTATCGTTTTTGAATCGCTTCAAATTGGCCTGTTTCTATTAAAATCCAAAATTACTACCACAAACTTTTTTCACAGAAAGATTCATATTAGCTGACTGAAAATTATTCAGCTGGTCTATTAATACCAACTTATGGAGATCCCTTTATTCGATAGTTTCAGCTCACAAATTATGAAACTCCTTCTCTTTGTTTAAACTTTGTAGAACCACATCAACGTTTTACGTTTCTTTGAAAGCGAGAATGCTTTGCGGACAATCTGATCGAGTAGCTAACTTCATTAATTTTTAATTTAAATTCAGTAGCTTTCTCATAACACATTCGACAGGATACGTAACGCGCCACTGAAGAGGGACATCTTATCCGACGTTGTGCCTTGTGTCAGCTACAATCCGGGTCATTTGCAGAGATCTTATTTTCTTCCAGATTTCCGAGAAATAAATCAAGAATATTCTTTCTTTCTGTGACTGGTTTCCTCTATCTAGTTTATTATCACTTTTATATTAATTCTCTACTCAATTTTCCATCGTTTCCATCTTAGAACCCGTTCAAACTTCTGTTAAGTTTTTGAAAATACCTCACACTCTTGCCTACACAAACTCCACCTTCACTTTGAAATATTAATTCACATCTGTTAGCAGAAAATATCTTCTTATGAAGACTTTCTTGTGAACCACAAGAGTTTACATCTAGCAGGGTGTATTTTACGTTCAAAGAAAATATAAAATCAGAATGTAATTAAAAGAATTTAACACAACATAATTTGTTCTGCAGGCAAGACTTTTGTTAGCTACAAGTTGAAATGTCAACAGCAGATTTTTATACCAATTTAATATATTATATTTACATTAAATTCTAGACTTTACGCAATAAAGAATACATACATTCCTGCATGGAAAACCTCTGGATTGGAAAAGACCATCACGCGATTTTAATTTAAGAAGATGAATTTGTGTTTTTGCTGTAATAGCAGAAATTAATTAAGATGCCTGTCGTTTGCTACATACAGAAATCACCATTCCGATGAACAACTAGCTAAGTTCGTAGCAGCAACACCTTATGATCGTAATGAGGTCTGGAATACCTCATCGCAGCAAGACAGGTCTTCGCGACAAAACTACCAACACACTTCTTCCTATACTGAGGTCTCGTATTCGAAACTCGGCCTTGGAGACCTGTTGTCCTTTCTGAAAGTTTTCGTTATTCTCCTCACCTTGAAAAAAACTCTGTTATAATACCTTAAAATAGGCCACGATCCCATTCTTATTTAATCCTTCCCAGTTCTACATTGATTTACCTTTCGTGTACGGTAAGAACACAATCCATATAATCGCCCATTCTACACTGACTGCCCAGCTTGGTTACAGCTGATATCTCTTGACAGTGGCCTGATATCAAGAGACGGACTTTTAAATGAATTGTAAGGAAAAGAATTAGATCGCAAGATGAGTGCACAAGAATTATCTACGGATATGTGCTCTATAAAAGGCTTCAGTATAACGCTAGAGAGGTAAATTCCAAGATCCTTCGATGATAATTGAGTAGCGACTGATGACAAATGAAGAACAAATTTTCGTTGTGAAATTACCGTCCGTAGTCCAGTATTAGCAGGACATAAAACTCTTCACTTATACAGTTTATTTATATTAACAAATATGATGAATACAAGTTAATATTCAGGTTAATTATCAATGTAGCTATGACTTTAGTTTATATAGAATATTTAAACAACAGATGTCAGCACGTGATAGCCAGTCACGGTTCTATTGACAATTCACTTCACAAATTTCACTCAGATGAACAAATTAAAACTTAGAAGACAAAGAAGAATAATTAATTAAGATAGTTCGATACAGAACACATGTCCAGGCGAACCGCCAGGGTCTGATTTCAAATTACCAATCCCCGCCCACCCCAAATGGTCAAGATTCAAATCGTCTGCGAACAGAAGGGCTAATTTCAATCCCATTGGCTGGTAATAACGTAATTTCGAACAAAATACTGAACCTTGGTTTGGCATATGGTAGCAACTAGGTGTGAAATATTCGTGTTAAGCTGGTCACTATAGAATGAAACTGCTTATTAAGCTGTCAGAAGTAGAGTTCCGAACGAATCCTCACAACGGGCGTCAATGTTTTCCCTTCACAGCTAATAACGGCTCTGTGAACCAGCGCTGTTCGTCGAC